GATGGGGTTGAGGGAGATCCCCTTGGAGGTGAGGAGGATCTGGATCATGACGAGGCGGGTGGCCTCGAAGGCGACGGCGCCCAGCTGGAGGAGGACGCCCCAGGCGTCGAAGCGGGCCTCCCCGTAGGCGGCGACGGCCACCCCGAGCGAGATGGAGAGCATGTTCACCATGGTGGAGTTGTTGTAGGGGTCCTTCTTGAGGAGCACCGCGATGGAGTAGACGGCGACGGGCATGAGGGCTTTGAGCATCTGGATGAAGGAGACGGAGAGGTAGATGTAGGCGGAGTTGGAGAGCCAGAGGGAGAGGGAGTAGAGGGCGCCGATGGGGAGCACCGAGGAGAGGTACACCTCCCTGGACATGGCCACCGGCTCCACCAGGCGGAGGACGCGCACCAGGAGCACCGCCAGAGAGGCGCAGAACGACATGTGGATCATTGTGAGGGAGATGGGGAAGGGCCAGTTGTACATCTTCTTGTCCAGGATGTACTTGTTGTACACGATCACCGTGAAGCTCAGGAAGATCCATATCGCCACGTACGTGTACGACAACACGATCTTCTTCACCACCCCGTCGCTCAGAGACCCTCCTTTTCCCATTCTTTCCATGCAATCCAGATTCCAGATCAATCTCACTTCTTATATTCACTGCTACTTCCCTTCTTTCATGTCTTTTCCTTTCCTTTATATGCTTCTCAATTTTCTTTTGATTCCAATTCCTTTATTTAAAACCAGTTTTTTTTTTTTTTTACAAAAGGAATAATAATATCGATATTATTATAACTATATATAAAAAATAAATAAATATATGATACACTTGGTAGTGAAATTTCATTTCAATAATAAATTATGGAAACGGATCATCATTTTAAATGTTTCTAAATTAGGGAAATGACAACCCATGCCCGGTCAACATTTTTTTTTTGGGGGGTAAATAAATACCCGGCCAACATTTGGATTATAAACAAATGAATTAATTGGAAGGTTTTATAAGGAAATTTTAAATTTATTTTTGTTTATGTGAGATGTGATAAAATGTGTGAGGGGAAAGATAGTTACATGGTGCAAAACGAAAGCCAAAGTCAACACCAAGCTTATATTCGTAGGTTTCCGATATGTCATTTTAATGTTAGGGAAACTCACCACACCACACAGCGACATTGAGTGGGATGGTATGAGACACAATTATGGATGCTGAATCTCGATATTTTAGGAAGAAAATCATAATTATTAATTATTTGTAAAAGGCAATGGATTGAAAAAATGCACTTTTTTAAAAAAAACGTGTTAATGAATGTCTTGTTTATTACAGGGCAATTTTTTTTAACGCAGTTTCTTACAAATTATTCCATACGTCAATGAGACTTAAGTGTGTGGATGCGGCTACGCTAAAGCTAGTGGGCGGACTGACGTAAAATACTTCCCCGTTGCATTTTTTTTTTTTTAGATTGTTTGTTAAAAAAAGTATGTTGAAGAATCATAAATATTAAGAATTACAATTTTTAGAAATGATTAAATTTGTTTGGTTAATAATAAATATTTTTTGTAAATGTTTATAAATGTTATTTGAGAATTGTAACATCTATTATGTTACTATACTTAATATAATACAAAAATTATAAAATAAAAAACTTAAAAAAATCTATTAATATAGAATTATCATATAATAGTACATGCACATTCAAGTAACATATATATGTATCATGTACAAAAAAATAGAAAACAATTTCTAATAATTTTGACTTTAAAAACATAAATTCTCTTATCAAGTTACACTAAAATCCTATACATATATGTAATTATACATCTAGTATAGAATACTAAAAACACAAAGTTTTAACGTCGATCAAGCATCCCTAAAAATATATTGTATCTTAATAGTACAGCAAGACATAAAAGTCACCTCTAACATGATTATTCATCAAAAGTGTCCTTCAACCTAACATTGTTCTACTTCTACGATAAATATGATCATCACAGTCTACAACAAGAAAAGACAAAAGTAAGTTTGTGAAATAAAACAACATATCATAAAATCAACACAAATACATTAATAGGATTAGAATGATGTGTTTCTTTACATTAATCCTCATTAAAATGTTTTAATGTTTTACCCATAATTGAACTAATAAAATTGTTTTTATTTTTAAATATAAATGTGATCTTAGTCTCCAAGTAAGTTTTAATTTCGATCTCTATAAAAAAAATTCTGTGTTTTTATCCTTAGAATTATTTTTTTAGTCTTTAATATTATGTAATTATTTTAACTATTTGTTTGTTCATTAAAAGGTTAGGTGATCATTTAAAAAAAATTATAGTTGGATTTATTCAATAAGAAAGCTTTAAATTTTCATTTGTTCATATCGGATGCAAAATATTTCCTCAATACTTGTTCGTGTCTTAGAGGTTTTTTTTTTTTTTTTTACAGAAAGTTACGTATATTTCAGAAAGTTAAATAATATAAAACTTACTAATTAATTTAACTTTATATTATTAGCTGTAAATTTCGTATACAATAATTTGGTGGATGTCTAATTATCCAATGGTGTCGGTAGCAACGAATACGGAAGCATCGCTTATTTTTTTTAAAATATTTCTGGTGTGTACAGTGAGACAAGCTATTAAACAATTTTGCTCAATGTATTACTTAATTCCAAGTTTAAACATGGGGAAAAAAAACAAATAAGGTTTATATTATCTTATTTGATTTTGTTCTTTAAATTAATTTTTTTTTTTCATTCTTAAAGTATTCACACGTTGAAGGTACTCAAAAAATGGAATAGCTGATCCCAAAATTTAACGCGACTGCATACACAAGATAGGATTCAAACTCCTGACCTTGCTTAAGCGTGGATCAACCCCTATCGCCGCTGAATCATATGTTTGGGTTTCTTCAAATTAATTATTTTGTCTTATAGCAGTATTTTTTATTATATAAAGTATAAACTATTATACAAGCGCGTGATACTATACAATTATATCTGCAAGTTGCTAACTTAGACCAAAACTTACGCTTTGTAATGGTAGAGGTAAACTTGGTTATGCTAATACCATTTAATAATTTATTATTTATAATTTTTTTCCCCTTCTATTTCTTTCTCTTTCACTTCTTCCCTGATTTTGTTTTTCATTATTTGAACCAAATCCTTCTAACGAAGTGTGAAGGCACGAATATATGACAAAGTCAATGGTAAGAGAGATTCAAATCCTCAAGTGTGACGCGTAGCTTCTTGCGATTTGTTCATAGTCTTTGGCAATGCAATAGTAATGGCGAAAGGTAATTAGGTGATTGCATTGAGAGCAATGAGTTATGGCTCCACTTATCCCATTTTCTTTGCCTAATGAGTTATGCCACCACGTCGTGGCTCTAATTAACTTTGCTTAAATATTTTGTGTGTTAGGTGAGGATGCTGTGGGTGGGGCTTCCACAAAAGGATTATTCTTTTTCAAATAAGAGTTTAAAGTCTTGACACCATGCGCTACTCTTGACATTGACACCCTACCCTACCGCACTAATAAATTGGCCTCAAATATATTTTATTGCTTTTAGTCTTTATAGAAATTAATGCAGTTTTAGGTTTTATATGTGTTTAGAAATATTCAGTCAAAAAATACTTATTTAAAAATATATGCTTTTGGTATTGGATAAACAACTAAAACTACATGATTTTTTTAATACAAATAAAGATTAAAAGTAAATTTAATTATGTTTTTAGTTCAATTTAGAGTAACTAATTTTTTGTCCTCAAATTTAAAAATTGTATTTTTAGTTTCTGTAATTTCAAAATATAATATAATTTTAGTCCTTGTATATATTCTTTTGGTTTCTCAAACTTAAAACATATATTTTTAGTCATCAAAATATAAATTATTATTTTAGTCTATCAAATTTTCAGTCCCTCAAATTTAAAATATTATTTTAATCTTTGTAATTTCTAAAATATCATTTTAATTTCTTATGACTAGCGGTAACATAATTGACAATAATAAATTAAAAGCAATTATGTAGTATTAATTAATCTAATGTGATGTTTTCACTAACAATAACATTAGTAACAACATAATTAACAATAATAAATTAAAACAACTTTCACTCACAATGACACTTTAAAAGAAGTATATGCCATAGATTAATTGATGATATTTGAATAGAAGGACTAAAATAATATTTTTTTATATATATTTTAGGAGTTAAAAATATGTATTTTAAATTTAAAAAATAAATTTTAAATTTGAGAGACTAAAATAATAATTTTTATGTTTTAAAGATTAAAAATATAAACTTTAAGTATTAGAGGAATATATATATATATATATATATATATATATATTAAACTTAAAGGATTAGAAACGTAATTAAGACTTAAAAATATATTAAACTTTTTGAAGAAATTAAAACCAACTTTTTAAAGTATTCTGATAAGTGAACTCCAAGAGTGTGGTTCAGCGGTAGGGATTGATCCACACTTAAGTAAGGTTAGAGGTTCGAATCCTGCCGTGTGTTAGCTATCACACACTTAAAAATATATACTTACCTGTCCCGTCCCCGTCCCCATCCTCATCCCCGGTTAAATACCCGTCCCCGGTTTAATTATTTTAAAAAAATTAACATTTTAAATATTTTTCTAAAATCTAAAGGCCACGCTGAACAAGCAAACATTTAGGGTTTCAGTTTTGAAATCTCATTCACACTCCAGCCTCCAACCAAGCACTCTACTTTCTCCCTCCGAGTCACTGCACCAGCCACGGAGCCACCGCACCAGCCACTCCCTCTACTTTCTCTCTCGCTCAATCTTCTTTCTTCGTTCCCTACATTCTTGTCCCTTGTTCTACCAGAGTGTTCAATCTATTTTAATTCAATCCGGGAAATGTGAGTTATTCTCTGTTTCTCTACTTATTGTGGCTGTTGTTATATTAAATTTTAATATTTTATTAGTTTCTTTTTATTTGTTTGTGTATTGTGGTTTACATGTGTACTTCTCTATTTTTGTTCGAATGATTTGGGAGAGAGATAACTTGTATCTAATTATGGCTGAACTATATAGGTGTATGAACTGCATGCAATTATTCTGCTCGAGTCTTTCCTTAATGAATAGTCTGAAGTAGTCATAGGCAAAGTTGCCAATCACACGGGGTGGTGGACTGGCCACCCCCTACATTTGAGTATGTCGTTACGGGATCTGGATCCTCTGACTTTGAGATATCAAAGTTATGGTAACTTAACACATCTCAATCGTTGGATTTGTAATAATAGATCAGATTGTGACACGTGTACAAAATATATTTTAACTTAAATGTACACGTATCACAATCTTATCTACTATTACAAATCCAATGGTTTAAATGTGTAAAGTTACCCTAACTTTCCCCCTCCAAAGTCAGGGGATCTATTTCCGTCGTTACGGAGCACCTCACTGTAGCGCATCATGCTGCCATTCACAGCTGAAATTGTGATCAAATGTGGGTTTTGCATCCTCGCATTTGGGTTGCTGAAAGTAAAAATGTCCCTGAAATCAGTGTCGTTTCAATTTTTTTTTTTTAAGTAAAATCTTGAAACTTTTTTTCCCTGTTTTTTTTTTATATGAAGTGGATGTCATTCTGTCCAGAAACCCCTTGAAATTACATCTAGAACTTACTGTTTTTTTTTTAAATTATTATTTTACGGGTACGGGTACGGGTATACCCGATACCCGACGGGGACGGAAATGGGACAAAATTTACATACCCGACGGGTATGGGTTTGAGTCGCGGGGATGGGGACGGGTATCATGAACCCCGTACCCGCCCCGCCCCGTTGCCATCCCTATGATATATACACCTCCTTTTTTCTATAAGTACATCTCCTTTTAAAAAAAAAATTAAATTTAAAAATATTTTTAATTTTTTATTTTAAATTTCATTTTAAATTTTACATCCATAATATTTAATTTAGTACCTTTTTATCATATATATTTTCTCTTTTTTTCAATTTTTACATGCACTCCCTTACCTTTCTTTCACTACACCTATTTTGGTAACATGTAAAAATTAAAAGAGAAAAAGAAAAGTATGTGAAATAAAAGAAAAAAGTAGCAAACTAAAAGTTAAAAGTATAAAATAAAAAAATTAAAAATATTTATAATATTTAATAAATTTTTTTTTAAATAAAAGAGGTGTACTTATAAAAAATATCATGAGTCTAGACGAAATCTTAACTACTTTCTAAAGTAATGAAATATTGGGCTTGGACCGGCACTTGCTTGTCATTGTGGCTGGAAGCAGTTGGGGCTAAGCCCGGGGGAATACCTAGGCCCAACTACTTCAGACTATGAAAACTAAGACCGCCATTCTTGGACAATAGTCAATAAGATAAAAATATAACTTCGTTTCAATTTCCCATTTTGCATAAACCCCGTTATAGATACCTAGTATAAAAAACGCACTATGTATTTCTATTTTTTTAAATAATAAAAATTATACAATAATTCGTAATTAATTAAAGGTATATGAGTGGTTATGGAATGAAATTTACCAGAATAAAAAATTGTAATTTATAAAAGAATAATTACATAAATAAAATTAGAAGAAAAAAATGTGTACATGAAAAAGTATGACTCGCTTTATTATTGTTATAAATCAGATAACAATAAATAAAAATAAAAATAGTATGAATTAGTAGTGTAAAATGTTTGAAGTTCAAAGATTAGTATAAAGACAAAATAAATAAAGACTTTTGAAGCTATATCTTTATTATTAAGGATATGTTTGAGCAGAGAAATGTATAATTTTACCAAAAAAATATTTTATCTCATCTCCTATATGGCATAAAAAATGGACATTGATCTACATGATACTAGGAATGTTTTTATATTTAATGTACATACTACATACATACAAAGACTATAATAAAACACAAATCAAATGCGATATTACGTTTGAGACATAAGATTGTATATTATTATAAATATATATAAGATAATATGACAAATAAAAATATTTAATTTATATAAATATTTAACACTTAGTAAAAATTATACCGGTGTAATTATAACCATAAACCCTAATCCCTAAATATTACACCGGTGTAACTTTTACTAAGTATTACACCGCTCAATAACTTTATATTAAATATGAATTTTGTAAATCTAACCGTTAGATTGAAATTTCATATCTCTTAGATCATATATACAAAATTTTATATTAATCCAAGATGATTTGATACTTCATTTTTATAAAACAAAATTAATGTAATATATTCATTTCAAAATATACTAAAATATGAACATTTTGATCACCTTTAAGTTGTTCAATTTTAACAAAATTTGATATACATGTATAAAGTGATATGAACTTTTAATCTAATGGTTGGATTTACAAAAATTCACATTTAATATAAAGTTATTAAGCAGTATAACACTTGGTAAAAGTTACACCGATATAATTATAACCCCTCATATATTATTTATTATATATATTATGTTATTTTGACTATATGTAGAGAGAGAATATCACGTGGTTTCTAATCTATTTTTTATTCTTTGAGGTAAAAAAATACATCGGCCTAATAAGATAGGTTAGATAGAATAATATTTTTACTGCTTTGTTAATTTAGATAACAGCAACAACAAAGTCTCTTAACAATCAATAATTTAAAAGTATAAATTAGAAATATTTAAAATTATAAAAATGCATAATTGATTCAAATAAATAAGTAAAAAATGTAAGTAAATCAAATATAGTAATAAATTAAATTTAGAAAATTAATTTACAAATATAAATAGTTGACATTTGAAACAAATATAATTATGTAAAAAGGAAAATTGAAAATTTTGATATTTAAATGAAACAATTAATAATTTTTTAAAAAAGCAATTAATAATTTGAGAATATTTTTAAAGAATAAAAACAAGTGCTAAATAATGATAAAGCAATGTATCTTACCTTTGCTATAAGCTTATAAAAAAAAAATTAATACATTTTTTTATTATTGATTAAAATTTATTAAAATTAAAAAAAATATATATGTCTCACTTTTTATTTAATAAACTTCAATTATAGTTGTAGCCTTCAGGAAATATTTATCAGTAATAGTGTGTATTAGAAAGAAGGAGAATATTGTTAGCACTTCTTTTCTTTTTTGGTTTTTTATTCAGTTTTGTACGACATTGTATGACTTATAATTATGCAGTAAACTTTGTGAAAGATAACACAAGAATATTAATTTATGAAAGATTTGTGTATTATTATAGATACAGAATACAGTCAATAATAACAGTTATGAACAATGAAATGGATTAGTTCAACTTCTAAAGACAACCATGACATCATTGACATGAATTAAAAAAGATGATTGAAGTAGTATTTGTGAATGCAAGATTTTGAAGCAATATATGTGGCTCCATCCATTAAGATAAAGTGTAACAAAACACGTTAAATAATAGCACAAGGGAATCAATTTAGTACAAAAGTTGGTAAATGTGAATTTACCAATTGTCTTTCCCTTGTGGTATTGTAGTACTAAACAGAACAAGAAAAAAAACAAAGAAAGAAACAAGGAACATATGCGTTTTGTGTCTAGTTTTGTAGCTAACTTTGGTTTTCTAGTCTCTACGCTCGTATTTGCGAGTCCAAATGTGTTTTCCATTGATCCGAAACTTTGCAATATGTTTTCCATTCAAAATTTGATCAACCGTTTGCACATTTTTTAGAACCAAAGTGGCAAACAAAACTTGGTCACTTGTGTCTGAATTCGACATATTCAAAACCTTGATACAATCCCCAAAGGCATTCGTGAATAAATTTCTCACCTCTTCTTCGGTAACAGGGAAGCCTCTAGAAAATGTTAAGAACATAGTTTTGTCATCATCGGTGACATCATCACATGGTCCCTTATTTTCCCATATCCTTGGGTCAGACAAATCCAATTCCTCAAAATTTATTGGTGGAATAATAAAGGAACCAAATAGTGGATGAGGAAAACCAGGAACAATCAAGGGTCTATAATTGCTAGGTAGTGACATTATTCTAGTGCTAGTGTTACACAAAACATTTTGTAAAATATCAGTGAAAATTCGGGCACACACTTTATAGAGAATACTCTTAATACTAGCTATGGCAGTGAACCTTTTTTGACTGATGAGTTGAAGAGAAATTTCCCCATGAATTATTGTTGAGGTTAGAGGCAATCCACCAACGATTGGAATGCGAGCATTTTCTAAGTCCAACCACTTCAAACATTTTTCACCTTCATCTGCGAGACCATTGACTAGAATGTCTGAAACACTAGCCAATTTTGAAATAACATTTGGGAACCCAATGTTTTCTAGCCAAAGCCACAAGGCCATGATTAGAAGAGATTGTGCGGGGTCCCGACCCAATTTGATAACCAAGCAAGAGAAAACTTCACGATCTTTTTTGTGAAATTGGTGAAGCTCTTCCATGGTAATGGAAACCATCATTTGGTTTGCTCTTTGCAAAGACAGGGAGAAATGAAATGTTGGGATACTTATTGTGACAAAAATATGAATTGATGCCCATGAATTAGTATCCAGCAAGTATGATTTATTTGGTAAATGTGTGAAGCTCACTAAGGTGCATAGAGTATTTCTTTTTGTTTAATATGGAGTTACAACTTCTCATCAGACGAGTGATCTTTATAAGAATAAATTAATATTTTTAGTATTGAGTCTGTGTTTAAATAAAGGATTCAACATCAATTTTTATTAAAGAATACAAATGTCAAAATACTTGTAATAACAATCTTTAATAAGGTGTAATTAATATATCCTCTTTTTATTTTTAATAAAATTATATTATTAGTGTAAAATATCTACTTGATTTGTCGATGGCTAATTTATCAAAGAACTTGATCACTTTTAAAAAATTGTATCTCAATCATGTTTTTTCATCTACGTATCTCAAATCCAACGTACATCCCATATATGATATTTGTGTAGAATTTAATTGAAATCTATTTTTATAATTACTTTTATAATAATTGAAAATTATTAACTCTTATAATAATTAAATAATTGAATTTATTAATTTTATAATAACAGTTTTTAAAATTGTATCTAAAGTCATTTATTATTAATTGACTGTATAACTTACCTTGTATCAAAATTAAACTTATTCAAATGAGAATGAAATTTTTAAAGGGGTAATATGAACCTGCTATGAAAAACCAACTAATGTTGTTTTGTTGATTGCTTTCAAACTGACCTTAAATGACTCTTCCCACAGATTCTACTTTTTAAGTCTTTGACTTAGTCAGATATATCCTCTCTCTCTCTTTTTTTTTTTTTTAATTATATAATTTAATTTTATAATTCTTTTATTATTATTTTATATTTTTTAATATTCAATGACAGCAATATTAACTAAAGAACTTATACAAACTACTCAAGTCCCTTGTCATTAAGGCTAATTCTCGAGGTACTTTTATAATTTTTATATATCACTTAAGATAATATCAGATTAAAAGATACAATTAACCTTCTCAATTTATTTTTGTAATTTTCTTTTTACACTTTTTTTTTAAATGTCTCTCATTAGTTTATTTATCTTTCATTTGTTTCTCTTAACATTTCCTTTTTTTAATAACAACTAAAGTTATTTTGGAATTGAAAAGTTAAAATTAAGAGTAATACTAAGAGATGAGTATAATAGGGAACTTATAATTAATATTATTTTAGACTTTTGAAATCGTAAATAAATAAATAAATAAAAACATTTTTCTTTATTAAAAAACAAATAAAAAGTGTACGAGAAGAGTAAAAAGAAATAGCGGCTCGTAATATATATATATATATATATATATATATATATGTATGGTATGTTTCCTCCATTAATCTTGTGCATTCTAGTAACTTAGCTTCAGATGCTAGTAATAGTGATTCCACATAATGTAGTGACCACGATAGG